ACTCTCTCAGTGGGCTGGCCGCTAAGGCCGCAGAACGACCTTTTACTGTCGGGCGGTCTGATTACGGCTTGATCTGGAAAATGCGCAAGAAATCCTGTCTGCTCGCTGCACCGAAATATTTTCGAATATCAGCAATCGTGGCTGGCGGTGTGAGACGCGGATTCTCAACTTGCTTTCTCGTCAGGATCCGATTGGAGTCGCCGAACACTTATCACAAGGGTCATTCGCTTGGCGGCCCGATCAGTTGTCGCCATAATAAGGACCGACCGAACGGTGAATTTGACAAAAATCAATCATCTAATTCTTTGCCGAATTATCTTCGCAGAGCATTACGTTCCCGGTAGTCGATTTCGAGAAAGGTGGTACCATGAGCCTTCTTCTCCAAATAAATGGGGAATCGGTGGGGTGATTAAAACATAACCAAACATGCAAGGGTAAGATAACCTATCAAAAAAGTAGGTAACATGGCTGCAGCAAGTAAGTTGAGGATGCCAGGGGCCACAACGCCTCGCTGCTTGACGGTCGACGAACGGCCGCCTGAGTGTAATTAGTTCCAGCGACTTTGCTTCATAAATTGCCTCCAGATGGGCCAGTTACCTAGCCATTGACCAGATAGTAATTACAGAGCTTCGTCGCATCTCTAGAATCGCTTCAGTGCTCTAACCAAACGTTTGCAATGGATCTATTGATTGACTGTATCAAGTTCGCATCATTTCGCTGTCGGAATCCGTAAGTGTCCCCTCAGACCTTCGTACGACATTAAACTGACACTTTCAGTAGAGATAGCAATGTCCGCCCGGCCATAGGCAACCAAGAAGATGCATTTCCCGCGACTGATTGCGAACCGATCGCAAGCATGGTGCCAGACAAGTATTATAGATCTTTGCCTGTCACAATGAACGAAGATGCAGACATGGCGGGCGAAATCGAGCACACCCTTCCCAGCATCTACTCTATCACCGGTCATCGCCGTGACGCTGATGTCGAGACACTTTTCCAGCTGCGAATCGAAGGGAAAGACGGACGACAAGCTTGGGTCCCTGAGAGGGCTGTTCAAGAAGATTCAGAAATGGCCCTTTTCGCCTACTGGGACAGTGTCGCGGATGGGCGTTTGGGCGCAATGGCCCACAAAGACCTTTGGCATCCGTTCCAGATTGAGAGTCATAGAAAGACTCATAGGGGTGGCCAGCTGTTGGTTTACTGGGTGGGGTCACCTGAGCGGTCTTGGCAATACGAGAGAGTCATTAGGAAGGCTGGTCCAAAGCTCGTCAAGGACTACTGGGCTCC